CCTTCCTGCCTTCCTGCCTTCCTGCCTTCCTGCCTTCCTGCCTTCCTGCCTTCCTGCCTTCCTGCCTTCCTGCCTTCCTTCCTTTTTTTCCTTGGTTTTTCCTTTTTTTTCTCCTGCATGAAGTCATGAATACTTACTCTTCTTGTTTCTGTACCTGAGTTAATTTCTATGAGTTTATGAGGAAAATATTCCCCAGACGTGGAGGGCTTATTTTGTCAGAAAACTGCAGCGTTACGGTTTTTATGTCCTTTGAAGATGCCCTTCAGGTGCCGAACGCTGGAGAGGTGTCCCAGGCTGGGCTCCGAGCTGAGGTGTGGCCCCCGGCTCCCTGCCGACCTTGCAGCGGAGGCTTCCAGGTCCCACCCTGGTGAGAGTAGACGGCCGCCGAGACCTGGGGTGTGCTGCGTGACACAGAAGAGCTCTAGGGGCAGACGCAGCATGTGTGTCCTGCTGTACGCTCCTGGTGTCTATGGCCAGAGCTCTTTTTCTGTGTTGAAGGTTTTGCTCATTTTCTGGCTGTAGCAGATGTTTTCAGTGCCCCTGTGGACCCTGAGGGCTCCTCTCCTGGCAGAGAGTCTGCTTAAGATCTGCTAAGAGTCATTTTTACCCAAGTGCAACCTCAAATCCGTGTAGTTTCTTCTTATGAAGAGATTAGATGGTTACTTTCTAATTAGAATAGGAACATTTTGTCTTTTACTGAGGAAATATAGATGTTGGGGTCCTGGTAGTAGATCTTTTAAAGAGAATTTGGGTTTATGAGCTCTCCTCACGCTCTCTCCCATGGACGGTCAGGGCTAGACAAGAAGGGGTACCTGTCACCCTTCTGGTCCCCGTGTTTATGCAGGCACCACTGCCTTGCCGGGTCCCGTCGTTTTGGCCTTGAGTTAGAGAAGAGACAGTGTACCTCTCTGTGGACCTGTAGGGCGAGGACTGGGAAGAGACGGGAGAGGCAAAGGGGTTGCTGGCAATATCCCTTTATTGTAACTAAGAGCACCAGACAGACAAAAGGAGGCTGATGCAGTCAGACACACAAAAGAGGCCTCTGCTGGTGCCAGCTGCGTGACGCTGGGACCCTCTTTGACCTGATGCTCCTCCATCTCTGATCTTTAAGCTGGCTCTGGTAATGGTGACTTTCTTCGTTAATATCACACCTGGGAGGACTGGGATGCCACCCCTCATGCCTGGCGAGAGCCAGCTTTGCTCTTCCCGTAGGAACTCCACTTCATTCCCACCACGCCTCCTTCCCCCTGATTTTCCGTCACAGAGATTGTGTAGCCGAACCGGCCTTCCTTGGAGGTGGGGAGAGAAGAGCGCGGGGCCTCTGCCCTGGGCGGGGAGGAGGGCGGGTGCCCAGTGGGTGGCCTCCCAGCATGAGGGAGGGCAGCACCTTGGGCCTGAGTCCAGGGAACCGGGGCTACAGCCAGAGCAGCTGCAGCGTGGGGTGTGTGCTTGCATTTCTAACAGCAGCAGCTTCACCGGTGTGAACAGAGAGACTAAGAGAAAACGTGCCTCTACTTCTACCTGGATCTCCATCTAGTTATGTGTGTCATCTGTCCATATCTATATTTATGTATCTATATCTACACAGTAAATCTATATCTGTATCTATGCATCTTCATATCCATATCTGTATCTACATCTACAAGTCAGCATCTGTCTGTACCTAAATCTGCCTAAATGTAGATATCCTTATAGATATCTAAATCTATGTATGTCTATAAATCTGCAGACATCTGTAGTCAGAGACACCTGTAACAGGTCCTCTCTGTCTGTGGGTTCTGCATCCGTGGATTCAGTCAACTAGAACTGAAAATATTCAAATATAGAATTATTTGAGTTGAACATGAAAGACTACTTTTCTTGTCATTATTCTCTACAAAATTTAGTATGATGGCTATTTGCTTAGTATTTACATTGTATTAGGCATCATAAATCACCTAGAGAGAATTAAAGCGTGGAGAGGTGTTACCTAAGTTCTATGCAAATACTGTGCTGTTTTATATAAGGGACTTGAGCACCTGAAGATTCGGGTCCTAGAATCACTCTCCCATTGGTGACAAAGGATACTTATGTATCTATCAAAAATCAGATGAATCAGACAGACTGATGGTCGTCCATGCTGGTAGGACCATTTTTAATTGAGAACCCAGTGTTGCTGTCAGCTCCTACGTGGAGCCAGGACTCACTCAGGAACCGGCTGGCAGTGCAGGCTGATGGGAACCCACCCGCATGTGCTCCGGGCCCCGCACCACGCAGCACTTCCTGGGTTCACAGAAAGAGCACTCAGACTGTCCTGGATCCGAGGCTGATGAAGGCACTGCAGTGTGTTTTCTGCACCCATGAGTGACTGGGGAATTTCCTCAAGGGGGAACACCTGCACTCCAAGGTCTTTGCCAGCATTACATGAACAAAGTAAACACAGCCTGAGCCGTGGTAGTCCAAGAATATGTAAGCTCATCACCACAAGCTATGCTCAGCAGGAACAGGAAAGTTGGGCTAAAATATGGTGACCACCCTGGCACCTGAGGAAATGCAGGGCCATCGCTGGAGGTCATCTGTTATCTCCCCAAAGTCTTTGTGGACGTCTCATCTAACCCTGGATGAGGCTGGGAAGAGCTGAATACGCTCATGTTCTATTGAAAAACTGTTTAGTTTAGTGTTTTTTAAAAAGGTTGTACTGCGCTTTGCACCTACGATGTTTATTTTTCATGAAGATTTTGAATGCTACAATCTGGAATCTGGGTAGTTCTCTTTGTGATACATTACCTTGTTACCTTCTTTGAAATTCTATTTTCCATCATAATGAGGAATTTATGATTTGAGTCAGATTGGATTATGACACATTATAGGAGTCAGAAAATTGTACTGAGTAAATGGGTTGTGTTTCTCTCTCTCACAGCACAGGATATCAGACAGGATTCTGCTTGTCAAATGCCTGACAGTGCTGGGCTTTGTTATCTTCACCTTCTTCCTCAATTCGTTTGTCGCTGGCATTCATCTCGACCTGGGTGAGTCTAACTTTTCCTTGGCTTTTGTGATGGGCTTTGCAGTTGATGTCACAGCCTGAATGGGAAGGTTTCAAAGCACGATCCCAAGGCTCACAGTATCGGGAGGTGCTGTGCGGTGAGGATGCCACCGAGGCATGTTTAGATCAAACGAGGGAGGAGTGTGGCTTGTGCTACTTTCCTCTTCATTTGAAGAGGGCAGCGTATGTCTAGCTCTTGCTGATTCGGTGCTATGGGCGCTCAGCCCCTTCAGGCTCAGCATGGGAAGGGAGATAATGTCGGTACCGCCATTCCTATTATATTTGATAATCATGTCAGGAAACAGTTTCAGGAAGAGACAGGGGGTCACACCACCAGGCCCCATTCTACCTTCTTGAGGCAAGACATGGCGATTAAATGGTTGTCCACTGGTGCAAGGCTGGAGAGCTGCAGGAGATCAGCACAGCTCGTGCCCTCACCTGACTGCGATCGCACTTTCCTTGTGCAGTAAACTCATTCTTCCACCTTCTCCTCTCAGTTCTCTCCCTGCACGTTCTCCATACTTCAGCTCTCAGCCTGCTGCACTTCCTCCAGCCCTGTGTCCAGGCTGGGTCCCCATGGCCTTTGAGTGTGAGCTTACCCCATTAACCCCAGCATCCTTCCACTTTCCCTAAACGTTCTCCACTGCTCAGGGACTCTCCTTACCAATTTCACAGTGACCTCAGTGGGTGTCATTTTTAAAACAAAATGAATCAAAACAAAACAAAAACAGCAACTTGCAAAACTCACTGCACATGAAAGTATACATTTGTGAAAAGATAAATGAGATGCCGTCAGGGAGTCTGTTTAGATCAAAGATTTACCCATGGTTTTCCTTCCAAAGTAGGTTCTGCTAAGGCATTTAAAATATCTTCTTTCTATCTTAATTTCTATAAAAACTTGACTTACTGTATCATGGGAAGAATGTAACTGCTGTAGGAAGCAAAACCTATTAACTCTGTAAAATAGATGGAAAAGCAGCTTTGGTTATTCCCATCACATGTCTGTGTCTTGGGTTCCTGGGTACATTAGAAATCTTCAGATTATGAATGTTTCCCTTTTCTGTCTTTCATAAATAAGGCCACATGTCTATGTCCTTATGCATAGCGCATTATGTAATGGTGCACAACCTCTTTGTTAACTCACGTCCTCTAAGTTAATGCAAGTCCAACTTGCCAGGCATCCTGGGCTTGGTTCTGGGCTGACAGGTGCTATTTATTCCCACCTGAGAGCTGATTCATGTGGCATCTCCATACAGTGCTGGAAAATGCCAAATCTGGGTTCTAACAATGTCATGAATTTTAGTTGTTTTTGGTGGGTTACCTCTAGAAATTGCTGTAGTGTTATTATTTTAATTACACCCAAGCATAGTGTAATTTTAGCATTATAAATCTTTAATCACTATAAGAATGTTAAGTGGTTGCTCCTGGTAGTTAAGCAAATACAATGAAACTGGTGTTTTATGAGCAAAGGGATTTATTAGAGAATTCTTGTTCACAGATTATTTTATTTGAGATTGTACTTGAAAAGTAAGGCATTTGAAAAACTAAAAATATATGAAAACTCACAATTTTGCTAGCATTTGGCTTTGTATACAGAAAAATACTTTTAAAATTTAAAGTTCCCTCTTTATATAGACTTTTAAAACATCTTGGCTACTGTGAAATATTTTAATTTGGGAAGTCCACCTTTTTCACAAAACCTCTCTTTTGAGGTTGTTGTCTGTGCTTGAGGCTATTTCTTTTCTGCTTTTAAATCTGGTTTTGTTTTCAGATTGTGCACAGTTTGTATAAAAATGGTTAAATCTGGGGGATCCTGGGACCCATGTATTTGCTTATTCATCCTGTTGGATTAAGTTGAGTAGGAAGAAAGTTTGGTGAGCATCTATTTTAATAGAATGCAGTTTCCTGAGGGTGACAGTAACTCTCCAGATAGGAACAGGGGAAAGATAAATTTCAGATCTTCCAAGGGCTTCAGCCAGTAGAGAATGTGAATATTCAACTATGGTGATGCTCTGTGTTGAATGTGACCTGCTTCATGACTTGCACATCACACAAGCAATACATGAGATGTTATCATATGACACAGTGTGATGCCATATAAGCTGTGCATCGTGTAGCCCAACACAAACATCATGTAATAAAAGATAACATAAGCTGGACCTGCGGCACATGCCTGTAATCCCACCACTGTGGGAGTCTGAGGCAAGAAGTTTGCAAGTTTGAATCTATCTAGGCAACTTAGTGATTTAGTGAGACCCTATCTCAAAATAAAAAACAAATAAAGGCTTGGGATGCAGCTCAGTTCCAAGGCCCTAGGTTTAATTCTCAGTAACACACACACACATGTGTGCACACATGCACACACACACACTATTATATTTAACATAATGTCATATATATATATAAACAAAAGTGATTTTTTTCATGTAAAATGTGACATAATACATCATGATGTGATATAATACAAGTGATGCCACATGAAATATGTATTAAGTAATAGAATGTAACATCATAAGCACAGTACTTCATTTAAGAATCGTAACCCAAAGGCACCATGCTTATTTTATTTTTTAAATTATTATAGAGCAAAGTTGGCTTTCTTCTATGACAGTTTACATCTTTTAGGTGTAAAGTTCTGTGACTTTTGATACATATGTAGATTAATGTGACCACCAATACAACCAGACTATAGATACCAAAAAGCTGTCCTCATGCTCTGTGTTATGGTTTGGGTCTAGATGTCCCCCAAAGACTCATGTGATCAAGGTGGTGCTTTTTCAAAGGTGACTGAATCTAGAGGGTGTGATGCTGGGATTAAGGGTGGGTGATTCCTAATCGGTGCACTGGTTGATTTGGCACCACCCCAACCCCAATAGCCTGGATACAATATAAGGAGCAGAAAGAGGCGTGTCTTCTCCCTTTGCTTGCTTGCTTTTGCTGTCTTCTTCTTGCCATGAACTGGTTCTCCTCTGTGATGCCCCTCTGCTGAGCCACCCTGCCTTGGAGCCAGCTGATTACAGACTAAAACCTCTACAAACTGTAAGCTGAAACAAACCTTTGCTTAACTTTGGGTGTGAGGTATTTTGTCTCAGCAATGAGAAAAGTAACTAAGGCAGAATTTGGTACCAGAGAAGTGGGGTCACTGCTGTGACTGTACCTGTACCTGTGACTGTAGCTGGGAAGGGGAAGAGTTAGGAAAGGTTCGGAGGTGCTGGCTGAAAAGGTGGAGATGGAACACTTGAGGCTGTACTTGATGGGAGATTCTAGTCAGAGCTCAGCAGGCCAGAATTCTGATAGAAAAAATGTTGATAAAGACCAGGCTCAGGAGAAGGAACAAAAACCGAATTGGCTGTTAGACTCCAGGCAATATGTATTATACTCTGGCAGAAAGTTTGTCTGCATTTTGTTTTTGTCCAGAGACTTTGATTGAGACTAAGATTAAGGGAAGCAGACTAATTAATCTTGTAGAAGAAATTTCAAGGTAGTCTAATACTGAGGCTTTGGCCTGGCTAATATTGGGGGGTTTTAGCCAGATTTATGTTGAGAATCAAGAGCAAACAGCCCAGCAGAATGATTCAAAATTGTTGTGAGTTTGGCTAGAAGGAAGCTCCAGGGAAGCTGTGGCCTGCCAAGATGAACAGAGGAGAAACTGGTCACTGAGAAGACTAGCAAAGGAAAGCCAAGAATTTCAGAAGAAGACAACAGAAAAGATGGCTTGTGGGTATCACAAGAACCAGCAGAACTCCAGCATTTGCAGCCTCAGAGTTGTACAGGTAGAAAAGATTTACTTTGAGAAGAAAGCTCCAGAGTACCATGTTCCAGGACGGTGGCAGCCTAGAGAATTTGTTTCCCAGGACTGAGTCAGAGTGTTCAGTGATCCAGGTACTTGATCCCTACAGCCAAGGGTGAAGGAAGCCTGGCTCCTGCTCCAGCGGGCGGCAGACCTTGGCTTTATCCATGTGGCACTAATTTTAGGTGCATGCAGAATGCCAGAGTGGATCAGGAAGGCTTCCACCCAGATTTCAGAAGGAGCCCTGGGAGACGAGGCAGTGTGCCCCTGACAGGACAGAGTGTGCAGCTGAAGGTGCATTGATTGGTTTGACACTGCCCTAATCCCAGTGGCCTGAATACAATATACGGGAGAGAAAGAGGCGTGTCTTCTCCCTTGCTTGCTTGCTTTTTCTGTTTTCTGCTTGCCATGAACTGGTTCTCCTCTGTAATGCCCCTCTGCTGAGCCACCCTGCCTTGGAGCCAGCTGATGATGTACTAAACCTCTGTGAACTGTGAGCCAAAATAAACCTTTCCTCCTTTCACTTTTGGCGTCAGATATTTTGTCCCAGCAATGAGAAAAGTAACTAAGACACTCTTCTGTAGTTTTTCCCCTGTACCACCATCCCATTGACACCTGGTCTAATCTTTACCCCTCTAGTTCTGCTTTTAAAAAATATTTTTACTAGTACATATTTATAGTACATGCAGTTTACAATTATCTTGGGGAGTGGTTACATATACATAACTCAGCTTGTTTCTCCTCTCCCACTCCTCCCTCCTCTAATTTCTGAATCCTGATTTTCATCCTTGTTGATATTATTAATCTTAGCTCATGTTATGGCATATAATGTTTATATTCATTGAGGTTATTAGGTTTCCATACATGGCACATCTTTATTTTACTTATTTACCCTTCCCCTCCTCCTCTCCCCTTGCCCTTGCTCCCTTGGACCACTTCCCTGTTGCAAAAGATCCTTCCCCTTCTCCCCTTCCAGTGATTGTTATTATTCTGTGCTTGTGCTTTGCCTCACTCAAATGAGGGCCATCGTAAGGTATTTATGCTGTGTGTCTGGCTTATTCCACTCATGATTATATTTTCCAGGTGCATCTATCTTTCTATAACTATCTCAGATTTGTCATTATTTATAGATGAGTAACATTCCATTATATATACATACCTCATTTTCTTTATCCAGTTGTCTGTTGATGGGT